CGGAAAACTGAATTTCCCCATATGTGTAGTGTACACAGAGCAGAATTACCATTCATGCATATGAATAATGAATAAGCCATAATTCCAAAACCCTTTGACCTATAGTCATGAAACTTCTTGGGTATGTTCATGATAAGTTATTGATATGCATGTACCGAGTTTCTTAATTTTGCGTGAATCGATGGCCGAGATCGTACGGGAGGGGCGCGGAATCCAACCCCCCAACCCCAACCCCCCGGCTGAGAGATGGTCAAAATAGCCCGGCCGGGGTCAGGAAACCAGACTACAAAAATATGGTTGGTTTTCTTGGATTTTCCGCCATTTCCGAACCCAAAACGTGAAGCAAGTCAGTTAAACAATATTTGCTATTACATACTTATCCTCCAAATCCAGTTATTTAAATTGCAACAAAAGACGTAAAGTTGCCGACTCCAAGTTATCAGACATTTAAAAATAGAAAAGGCCGGGGTTAATGATTTTGGGCAACATTTAGAAGGCGAACGACTTTCCCTTAACAGTTGTTGACAAAAACCGCCCGATCATAAATCTCCTTTAAGTTTCATTTTAAAAAAAATGGCGTCCTATATTCCTCCTTTAAATAATACAAGCAGTTTGGGCCTTTTTTAACGATACTAAACATCCATGTCGTGCCCTCATTTGTTGTTAATGCCTTCAACAATTTAGTAGGCCATGTTGCTTTTGTGTTTCATTAAGAACACTCAACCAACAGCTTTTTTTTTCAGAACCAAGCATCTTCCAAGAATATCTTTCCACATGGTGTTACCCGCAAACTTTATAATTTATTTAAGAAGTTGAATTACAATCAGTTGGAAATTGCCTAGACTGACAGAGAGGACGAGCCAGCTACCAATACAAAGGCCCAAAGCTGCGTACAGGCGTACTTTGACTGAGGATCAGACCAAACACAGCCACACATTAATTTGTTATGAAATATGAAAAACAGTCAAATTAACAGAGGAACCACTTCAAAGTAGCAACATAAATTGTATCATGACATACATCCAAGCACTAACCTGTTCGAACTTGATGAACTCCGACAAGAAATGAGTAGTAAAAAACTGCCAAAGCGAATCGCAAAGAGACCTTGCCTTCCATATTTACGGATCCTTAACCTCCGCCCCGAATTCGCGTTCCTGAATGCTACTATGGCGTATACCGCCAGTCCTGATCTGTTATTGCAGTGTTCTGCACTTACTGTACTTGCAGTGGAAACAGGAAACTGCACATTTCATGTTCCCCAATCGCTTCAGTAGGTTTGTTTAAAATATATATACATGTATTTTAGGCCAAAAAAAAAAATAAGTTGGTCTCTGGTCAGCGCGCGCGTCGATTTTAATCATGCGCGTCGATCTTTTTTTTTCCCAAAATGTTCCGCGGTAGCTCCAACAGCGCCCTCTATTTCCGCACCTCCTCAATTTTTTTTTACCAAAGAGCACCAAGGAATGGGAAATTGCACCAAGGCAAATGATCGAAAGCAGCAAGGCAAATTATGGAGGACACCAATGTACATGAGGACACCAAAAAAGCAAAATAGTACCCACCTTGTCTGTACAATCCAAGCTTGAAGAAAAAAAAAAGCCGCGTGGCCGCGTCAATTCCGGAACTTTGGTCTGACCAGAGACCGAATATTTTTTTTTTTGGCCTAACACTCCCTTTCATCCCTTTCATAGCACTCCCTTTCAAAAATACAAGAATGCCAAAAAAATGGTGCCATGGCCTGAACGTCACGTCAATTCAACTCGTTTTTCTTTAATTTTTGTTTCCTGGTTGCACTTGTACCGCCAATGCGTGGTGCAATGATTGCACCTACTGCTAAATGCAAACAAGGTTCGCCATTTGTGGGTAAATGCTAAGATTCAAAGTTACAAGTGAGGCTTGATGTTGCCATGCAAAATGGCATGGAAAGGCACAAAATTGTAACCATGATTATGTGTAATAACATTCCTGGTGTTATAATTGCAAAGATTTTATTTTTTAGAGTAGGCCTGTTTATAACATAGCTGACATTTTGTAGCGTACGGTAGGCCTTCAATTATTTGGGGTTGCCTAACATTGCAATTTCACTTGATGTAACCTTGTTTGATTAATTGAAACATACATGTAAATAAAACAGTCAAATTATTTTAAATGGATTTGAGCAATGTATAAATTGGTACGTTTATTATTTAGATATTACAGATTTATTAGCTTGTGCGTATATGTCAGCCATGTGCAAATAGCAACATGTGGAGGAATAATTACTTGTGGTAATTCCCACTTTCAAGATTTCATTGCATGGATTCGATTATCTATTATGTTGTTAACATGATGATGTGACCACTACGATATTGCATTAAAGGACACATGTCATGTAATTTTTAATGTAATCCTTGGAAATTCACTTTTGTATCCCATTAAAGCTTCTTTGTAAGTTTCGTTGCCTTTTTGGTTTTTATGCTAATGCAAATGCAAATATTCATAAGCAAAAGTGTGGGGGAAAATGTTGCAACCTGACGCCACAAAGTATTTCCTAACAAAATTGGAAATGTCAAGTGTTGCAGCCATTTCTGTCCAAAAGTTGCCAGATATTTGGATATTTTTTCAGTCGTAAATTCTCTTTTCCGTGGTGATTCGTTGTTGTGTTAGTACAAGGCAGTAATTAGTGAGCAAACTTTTCTCACAGATATTTTAAATGAGCAAGTTTTTGGGTTCACTGTTTGAACAGAAAACCCCTAAACTGAACAGTGTCTTCCTGAAATGAAATTGCAACAACAGAGCCCTCAGTTGGCCGGAAAAGCACGGAATATTTTAGATGTTTAAAAAATTGCACTTGTTAATAAAATTAACCACAAAGCGATATCAAATAGTTTTTATACATTTTAGGAGGGGTTCTTTCTTCTATAATTCATTAGACCTACTTTGTGTTAGACGGACCTAGGCATTATGACAACCTGTGCGCCATCCTTCCTGAACTCGAGGGAACTTGATCATCTTGTAACCTTGGCAACGAAAAGCAAAACTGGATCGTCAAGGATCAATTCAAGAGGAATCATTTGAAGACAAGTGTGAATAACGAGGCTTAACTATCTATAGCTGCCCTCGGAAAGTTAACCAAAAACCGTTGATATTTTTAGATGTACAAAATAAAAGTTTCGTTTAAATTAGGAAGAGTACCAATATAAACACCTTGTCTAAACTAGGCCTAAATACGTATTATCGCACGGGGTGAGCTGTGTACAGTACATTGAAAATGTGATTACAATTAAACTTTTAGAGGTTGTATCACCTGGTTACAACGCACTTTGATGGAACTCTTACTGTAACTTCTCAGATATACGATTTGACAAATGTATTCTGATTCCAATTAATTATTTTACTATACATCACTTGATAATTCTGTGTAATAAAATGCCTTTCAACGTTCTAAACTAGTAACATTGAATCAGATTAATGGTTTTTATATAATGTATATTATCAATTGTGAAAAGATTATATGTTTCAACATAAAAATAACTGCGCAAGTACCGCATGTTCTGAGTGAAATAATGGGTCGATCGATCTATATAGACCGGTCATCAATTAGGTTATACAATGGCCTTTGCCTACTAAAATGGAATAGGTCCACATACATCCACTTTGAAATTATCCATCTGAGTATCAATGCAAAAGTGAAATTGATCTATCAAAATCTACCCCTCTCTTGGAACGATACATGATATTTATACGTGACTTACGTGTGATAAGAGGCTATAATATGTAACTAATTACCTACCAATTATATTTTGCTTCATTAGCAATAACCAAATTACAGTTCGCAAGTATGCTAGAACGGACCTTGGTTTACGATTGCCTGCACAGATGTGTTTCACTCAGGTTGCAAGTAACGGGATTTTTGGGGGGCTTTGGTGCATTTGAAATTCAAATCCAGGTGTAGAAAATAGGGACGGATCTAGCTTTCAGGAAACGCATATAGAGACGGGGTTGATATTTGAGTACTGGAAAAAGACTCAGAATTAATCATGAAAAAACGCAAAAACCCCTGCAAAGGCTCAAAGCGAAATACATTTACTGCACATGGGCTTAACTCAAGCCTGAATGATATTGCATTTTTATTAAATTCTTGGCTAATAGTGTTTTAGCTTCCCCGTTATCTTAATGAATAATGATTTCTTGTTTTTTTAACGACGAAGCGCTCAAAAAGTAAACAACAAGGTACGCCTATAAAACCTGGAACGGCTTGCTTTAGAGATCGAGACTCTCTTCCATGTTTTCAATGCAGAAGGAATACCACTGTTATTAACAGTTTTAAAAAGACATCGGGATACGAGATCAAATGTCACTTGCCATTTCAACATTTCCGTCATCACGCCTGCTTCTTTTTAATAGTTTCGTCACCTACACCACGAAGTAACACTCATGTACATACCGGGTAAAAACTAGCGATCGGAGAAAACGGCATCTAAAGTTAAACGCCTTCTAAAACAACACTTTGCGTCAAAACGACAGAGTATTTCTCAGTTGGGTTTCTCGTTGTGGACACTTGATGAATTGAATTTATTAAATCTGCTGTTTTTCACCCGTTTGTGTATTAAATAAACAAGAAATAAGAGAAAAAAAGATGAGTGTTAGTTCGTGAAACCGAAAAAGCTGCGAAACTGTTAATGTTCGTTTTCACGAAGTAACACTCTTCAATGTATACAGCAGGAGGAAAGTGCAACTTCAGGTCAGCGCGTGCGCGCTCATACAACTTATTACAAGAAGAGTGTTACTTCGTGAAAACGTTTTTGCTCAAATATGAGCAGAGAGTGCGCCATGCATTGCAATGGTAAATGGAACTTGAGTGTTACTTCGTGAAAACGAAAATGGTCACTTTTGCGCAGAAGTTGACATGGATACTTAGCGTAATTATTAAAGTAAAGCTCTTGAAGCTTTGAAACTTCGTGCAATGGCAGGCCTTGATGAATAATGTTTAAAAATCCAAAAAATGAAAATCGAAAAAAAAATGGTTTAACACGGTAGAGTGTTACTTCGTGGTGTCGGTGGCGGTTTGTTCCGTCCCCTCACGGCGTAGATGACGATTGCAGCAACTAGAATGGTCAACAGTGTGCTTAACACACTGATCACAACAAAAGTGGCGATGTTGTATGGAACGACGTCGCCTGTAGAATGAAAGGTTTATCATTCGATGTTAAAAAAAACCAACATAAATACGAACTATTTCTATCCTCATTTTGATGATTCATGTGACAGTAGAAATTACAAAAAAAATACGAAAACTCAATTTGAAACCAAGCACTAAATGTCATTATAACTCGGAAGGTTAAAGAGACCCTTAAATTACCCCAGCTGAGTTGCACAAGTAAGTGGAAAGGATTCTGTCGGGGGAGATCATACTTCAGGCATCTCAATGAGCCTACTGTGTTAGCAAAACGGTGGGTTTAGGAACTAGGTTTACTTGATAAGAAAGGGTATAGAGTTCGTCATTTGTCATAAGAAGTTCGCACGTCATGGAAATCGCGCTGCAAATGATTGTGTCTCACATAACTACTTTTAATTGGATTTTTGTCAGCTCTTACTTGGCACAGTCTTGAGCAAAGAAGCCGAGGTACTCTTCATGGTGGTTTTCCATGGACCAGTCACATCCGAAGTAGGGTGTACTGTCAATGATAACAAAGGTCAAAATTTCATCTAAAAACAATCGGTCAAGAATCAATTAAAATGTTGTCTTCGTTTAAATTATACCCCTGGTATCGACAGGTTAAATACAATTAACTTAATCCCGACAGGGCAACCCCGGCGACAGCTGTGGGACAGCCGGTGATGACTGGGACACGAGTGTCAGCTGTGGAGTGAATCAAACGTGGAATTATGAAAGGGGTCGATGAAAACAGAGCCAAAAGCATTCGTCTCATTTTGCATGTAGAGGTTTGCCTATCTGTGATCTAGCCACCACAGCCGCCGTGGGACAATCACTGATGACTGGGGCTGTTGTATCCATCCCTGGCACTGTTAAAAAAAATCACATTAAAGATTGCGAAAAGAGTTATCTTTTTACAATGTAATGCACAAAGATTGTTTTGAAAATGCATGAAACTGTTTACTTGTCTCTTAATATTTTTATAAAAGGAAAACGTTCTGTGAATCTCCTTTAAAAGAGTAAGGCATAAAATGTCACTAAAATTGTCATTTTTGTGGAATTATGTCAGTGACATTCTGAATTTTTTTATATTCCTCATACTACCGATAACCTTATATAACTATTGGTTTTTTTTGTTCGGGCATTTTTGTTTGTTTATTGACTCATTCTGTTTAAAAATGTTTATTTTGTTTTACCAAATTGCACAACAAGTTGTCATATATTCGTTGTTTGTTTTTTTGGACTTATACCAATTGGCTTAAGAAGTTTTTTAAAAAAGAGAAAAAAACTAACGTTGAACTTTGCAGGGTGGGGGGTACGAGCGAAATTTCATAATAACTTGTTCCCAATTCTCAGTGCAGTGGACAAGCTTTTGTGGTGATGTGATGTGATGTAAGTGAGCAGTGCATAGCGCTGTATTAAATTACTAAAGCGCTAACCCGTCACAAGGGCGGATCCAGAACACAATTTTTTTGGGGGGGGACCCAAAAAATGTTGGTCCCCCAAAAAAGTGGGTCAAAAAAATTACGGCGTGGGGTTCGGGGCCCGCTGAAATTGGCCCCTGCGCGGCGCGGCGGGAACCAGTCGTCGCCACGTGATATATATATAGTCACCGCGTACGGACATCGTTTATATCGCGAAGCGAATTTGTACAAATAACGGAGGTTTCTTTTGAAAAAAAAAAGCGAATGTAAGTAAGAAAACAAATAAATACAAGCATTTTTTGATGCAAAAGGGTTGTTGAGAGGTATTTTGTGAAGACAGAAAAGACAACAAAATTTTATTTTTATTTATTCAATCTTTTTTTTTTTTTTTTTAATTGCCGATACAAATTTTAGGGTCGCAGCCTAAATATAGGGTCGGTCGGGTAACCGGAAGCAGAACTATTCTTTTTTTTTGGCCTTAGTAGAAATGATGACCGAAACAAATATGGAGAAAAACACATCCCAATCTCACCTGCAGATGTCTTTGCTACCATGGACGTCATTACTTTCGTGGACTCATCGGTTAGCTGAAATTCTGTGGTTAGCTGAATTTCTGTGAAGGTAGAAAACATGAAGAAAAATATTATTAAATTTAGGATATTACTTGGTTAAAAAATACTTTTCAGTTTAAAATCCCAAAGAAGGCCGTCAATCAGTATTGTAAAACTTCGATGTTACAGTAAATGCGACTTTTGTTTAAAACACCCAAAGGCGGGTCATACTTCATTCATTATTTTAAAACTTCGGAATTCATCTGTATAGATCACACTAAAACACATTTGACGTCATTAAACTCGTTACAATTACGCATATTAGCATAAAACGAAATCTGTCGTTCATTTGTGTTGAATTACATACGTGCAATTACGCATGCGCACGAAAGCTCATTTGTATTTAATAACCCATTTGTTATTCCTAATCTGGGTCGTACTATAAGCACGGAAATAAGCACAACATTTTGCTAAGCACATAATGTCTGCATAGCTGCTCCATGAAATTGGGACCTATTCTCACCTGGGCATATTCCGTCAGTTTGCCACTCGCCCTCTACACAGCTGATGTTGATTGTGACTTTCGTGTCAATGCACACAAAAGCCAGTGTATCCCCTCCACGATACTCCGAACTTTCCCGAGTGCCGTTCGAAGGCCGTTCGGCAGGTCGAGTGCCATTCGGCGGCTCGGGTGCATCGCAGACGTACGGTAGGCAAGATGGCGGCGGGAGATTCCATTGTCCAGCTGGGAGGCACGTCAAGTTGCCTAGACCGGTTAGGAAGAAACCGTCTTGGCAGGAGATATTCAAGGTCCGACCGGTCTCAAAGAAGGTTTCGTTGGCCGGCGATAACGTCGAGTTTGGGGGAGCATCAATGGGCAAACAACCTGTCAATCAATCAAGTATTCCCTAGCTATGTTGCTGTTATTGGTTCTCATTAATTAATTCTAACCATATAATAACGATAACATGTACTCCACATGGATAGGAAATGACGTCAGGTTTCAATCAGGCATAGAGGAAGAAATGCACTTTTATTCCCCAATCGCCATTGCTTCAAGTTACTGCACATGATAATGGATATAGAAAAACAACAAGATAGATGCACCACCAAAGAGCGCCCTCTAATGACTCATTGCTCTGTATTTTTCCCTTTCAAGTTCTTATCAATTCCAATCGAATACAAACATAAAATCGGCGACTTGCACATCAACCACAATATATTCATGCTCAATTGTTTTGTTGTAGTAATGATAATTATAAAGCTTACCAATTTCAAAGATTCGCATCCGAAAGTCGCTTCCGCAGTTCTGCGTGCTGTCTCCGCTGCAGTTAGACCTGCAAAAGTACAAGTCTTCGTTGTCTACCTCCCCGTGTAAGTCGTACCTAGCCGTACGACTGCCGCAGAAGCACTGTATACCGGCTTGGACCCCCGCGTAAACGAAGTCTTTGCGGGCACACAGGCCCAGACATGTCGTGACGGACATGTTCGTAGAGCTCTGGCAGTAAGGGGCGTTGACGTTGCAGACGTTGTTGCATAAACCCATGACGTCATTGCAAGAGGTCAGGTTTGGAAGAACCCGGTTTGGGATGTTGTCGTAGAAACAGCCGAGGAAGCGAGAATCTGTGGCAACAGAAACAAATCAAATGTTACTGTTTGCAACATATTAAATTTGGATTTCAGCATAACCTTTAGAAAAATATATATCGACCAACGATAGTTTCATTTTGTTTTCAAATAATTTTTTTTTTTTTTACATTCGTAAATTTTTTCCTTCAAATTCAAGTTTAATATCCACACTAAAACGTATTATTCAGCTTCCACTGGCATTTCTGAACAACGACATTACATAAAACCGCAATAAAACCAATATAATAGTACACTATAAACAGATCACTGAACTCACACAAAAAATAAACCAATACAATACAGTACAAATTGAGAGGACCATGACACATTGCACAAACAATTCTTAAGTCAACATAGCGCACAACAATAAAAAGCCAACCCCATACAAATGACATATTAAAATGAATTGACATGCTAATTTGAATTATAAAAGTAGACAAAACTACAATATGTTTGTTGGTGATGATACTCTTTTGTATAATCCTAATATTTGAGGTTTTAATCCTTCTACCACTCAAAGTAGGGAGCAGACGATTTGAGGTGAAACATCACGGTTAAGACATTGGATAAATCACTCTAAACGTCTTTGTCCCCAGATTCACTGATTCAGTTAGAGAGTAAAATGTTCACCCCTTGAAATAAGAGAGTATAAAAGCATCGACCATAGCTGTTGATAGAGGTTTCTTTGATTTCACAAGTACAGTCGAACACCTTTATAACAAGGTCCTTGGGACTTTACGAATTACCTTGTTATAACAGGTACATTGTATAATGGAAAACAAAGAAAAACAAAGAAAACCAAAGACTTCGGGCCTAAAATGTTGCTTGTTTTTGTTAGCAGAATATTGTAATAACAGTGCTCTTCTTATCAGGGTTCGACTGTATGAGATTTCGGTTACCATAGGGTTCATAGGCTTACTCACTGTTTGCTGAATAAACTCCGAAATCACTTCTTTTTTTCTTGCCGATTTTGCACAAATGACGCTCTGTGCGAATTTGACAACGGAATGGAGATTCGAAAATTAAACCACAAATGTATGCACACAGGTACAGCATTGTATTGTATACCATTGTAACAAGATTCTTCGGCGTGTTTTCGCGCTTTAAATGCTACTCTACAAACCCAGAAAACCTTTCCCAATTAAGTGAAGGCAATAAATTAAAATTTTGAATCCAACCAGTTAAAGACTGGGACGATTAAATTGTATTGCCTACCTACAGGAAGATGATGTGTTTTTCTATATAGCAATGAATAATTCATTAGAGTTGCTAAGTAACAGCCAATACCTCTATTGTTCGTCCGGAAAATTCAATTCAATTCAATTCAATTCAATTCACTTTATTTTCCACATAAAAAAAGACGATCAGAGTTAAATGTATACAAAATATGTAAAATGAGACGGTAGTGACAGAGTTTCGTTTTGTCACGAATCCTTCTCTTGGCAACGATGTCATGCCACTGTTGGCCAAGCTGGCTCTTTACACCTGAATGTAGTAGAGTAGTGTGTTACGTTAAGGAGAATACACGAGAAAGTACGGAAGCGTATTTAGGACATGACCGAAAATATTTGTTTAGTCCCACTACTTCGATTCGCCCGGGCGGATTAGTATTTCGCCCGGGCGGATTAGTATTTCGCTCAGGCGGATTAGCATTTCGCCCGGGGGGATTACTATTCCGCTAAGTTGCGACTCAAGTTATCAGACATTTAAAAAAAAAAGGCCAGGCGAGCGTCTTTCCCTTGACAGTCATCGACAAAAACCGCCCGATCATAAATCTCCTTTATGTTTCATTTAAAATGGCGTCCTATATTCCTCCTTTACCGAACCACTGTTCGATAAAGAAGTTTGGGAGCTTTTTTAACGAAACTAAACATCCATGTCGTGCCCTCGTCTGTTGTTAATGCCTTCAACAATTTAGTAGGCCATGTTGCTTTTGTGTTTCATTAAGAACACTCAACCAACCGGTTCTTTTCAGAACCAAGCTTCTTCCAAGAAAATCTTTCCACATGGTGTTGCCCGCAAACTTTATAATTTATTTAAGAAGTTGAATTACAATCAGTCGGAAATTGCCGAGACTGACAGAGAGGACGAGCCAGCTACCAATACAAAGGCCCAAAGCTGCGTACAGGCGTACTTTGACTGAGGATCAGACCAAACACAGCCACACATTAATTTATGAAATATGAAAAACAGTTAAATTAACAGAGGAACCACTTCAAAAGTAGCAACATAAATTGTATCATGACGTACATCCAAGCACTAACCTGTTCGAACTTGATGAACTCCGACAAGAAATGAGTAGTAAAAAACTGCCAAAGCGAATCGCAAAGAGACCTTGCCTTCCATATTTACGGATCCTTAACCTCCGCCCCGAATTCGCGTTCCTGAATGCCACTATGGCGTATACCGCCAGTCCTGATCTGTTATTGCAGTGTTCTGCACTTACTGTACTTGCAGTGGAAACAGGAAACGGCACAACATTTCATGTACCCCAATCGCTTCAGTAGGTTTGTTTAAAATATATATATATATATGCATAAATTACTCCCTTTCATCCCTTTCATAGCACTCCCTTTCAAAATACAAGAATGCCAAAAGAAATGGTGCCATGGCCTGAACGTCACGTCAATTCAACACGTTTTTCTTTTATTTTTGTTTCCTGGTTGCACTTGTACCGCCAATACGTGGTGCAATGATTGCACCAAATGCTAAATGCAAACAAGGTTCGCCATTTGTGGGTAAATGCTAAGATTCAAAGTTACAAGTGAGGCTTGATGTTGCCATGCAAAATGGCATGGTAAGGCACAAAATTGTAACCATGATTATGTGTAGTAACATTCCTGGTGTTATAATTGCAAAGATTTTTATTTTTTACAGTATAAAATAGGCCTGTTTATAACATAGCTTACATTTTGTAGCGTACGGTAGGCCTTCAATTATTTGGGGTTGCCTAACATTGCAATTTCACTTGATGTAACCTTGTATGATTAATTGAAACATACATGCTCCTCAACATCGACAAGGTCATACGGTCAGCGAGCGTTTTCATCTGCAGCGCCCACCCTCTGGAACAAACTACCCAATCACATCAAGGAAGCCCCAACCCTGGACGTTTTCAAAGCTAACCTTAAAACCCATCTGTTCACTGCAAATGAAATATAATGTAAGTGTTTTCCTCTGTTAATTGTTCAGCGCATTGGGACCCCGTGTAAAATGCGCTTTATAAGAATGGTTTATTATTATTATTATTATTATGTAAATAAAACAGTCAAATTATTTAAAATGGATTTGAGCAATGTGTGAATTGGTACGTTTATTATTTAGATATTACAGATTTATTAGCTTGTGCGTATATGTCAGCCATGTGCAAATAGTGAGCAAACTATTCTCACAGATATTTTCAATGAGCAAGTTTTGGGGTTCGCAGTTTGAACAGAAAACCCCTAAACTGAACAGTGTCTTCCTGAAATGAAATTGCAACAACAGCGCCCTCAGTTGGCCGGAAAAGCACGGAATATTTTAGATGTTTAAAAATTACACTTGTCAATAAAATTAACCACAAAGCGATATCAAATAGTTTTTATACATTTTAAGAGGGGTCATTTTTTTGTACTTCATTAGACCTACTTTGTGTTAGATGGACCAAGGCATTATGGTAACATGTGCGCCATCCTTCCGGAACTGGAGGGACATTGATCATCTTGTAAACTTGGCAACGAACAGCAAAACTGGATCAATTCAAGAGGAATCATTCGAAGACAAGTGTGAATAACGAGGCTTAACTATAGCTGCCCTCGGAAAGTTAACCAAAAACCGTTGATATTTTTAGATATACAAAATAAAAGTTTCGTTTAAATTAAGAAGAGTACCAATATAAACACTTCGTCTAAGCTAGGCCTGTACATACGTATTATCGCACGGGGTGATCTGTGTACAATACATTGAACATTTGATTACAATTAAACTTTTAGGGGTTGTTTCACCTGGTTACAAAGCACTTTGATGGAACTCTTACTATAACTTCTCAGATATACGATTTCAAATGTATTCTGATTCCAATTAATTATTTTACTATACATTACTTGATAATTCTGTGTAATAAAATGCCTTTCTACGCCTCTAAATTTGTAACATTGAATCAGATTAATGGTTTTCATAAAAATAACTGCGCAAGTACCGCATGTTCTGAGTGAAATAATGGGTCGACCGATCTATATAGACCGGTCATCAATTAGTTTATACAATGGCCTTTGCCTACTGTAATGGAATAGGTCTACATACATCCACTTTGAAATTATCCATCTGAGTATCAATGCAAAAGTGAAATTGATCTATCAAAATCTACCCCTCTCTTGGAACGATACATGATATTTATACGTGACTTACGTGTGATAAGAGGATATAATATGTAACTAATTACCTACCAATTATATTTTGCTTCGTTAGCAATAACCAAATTACAGTTCGTAAGCACATACTACCTATATGAAAAACGAAATACCAGTTTCGAGCAACCTAGCTAAACTTATCAAAAAATGCGGCCTGGTTTGTCTTTAATTTTTTTTCCTTCTCTGCCACTCTGAAAAAAAAATCGTTTTTCCCCCCAAAAAACCAATGAATTACTTAGACAAAACATACCGTAGTTTTCTGAACTGGCAAACACTAAGTCTTTATAAATTTCAACGATAAAAGTATAAAGGTTTTAGTTTTAATTCTTATCCAACAAGTTTTACTTGAATCCAACAAAAAAAAATCATCGATGTGTTTCATATTATATATATTTGTTACTGTTATTCCAATATATTTCTTGCTCTGCAAATGTCAGTAGTCAACTCGTAATATTAGTCAGCTTGTGTTGCTCCTCGTCAATACCGCCACGAATTCTCAAATCTCATCCAGCTCTGGTGTGATGGCATTCACATAATAGGCCTGGCCCTCGACGAAGGGCGACTGTAGAGATTAAAAACATGTGTCGTGTAGTCTTAAGGGATTATTTTGACGAAGTTTCAAGAAGTTTATTTTGTTCCAAATGCTTCCTTGGACCATACTAAAAGCTACTTGTAAGATATAGGGAAACGCTTCGGGTTCAGAACGTCACAGACGCCGGCAAAGCCCAGCTAAAACCAGTCAAGTGCAGGGCAAGACAAGTTCCATCTCACTCAGCCTGTTACTCCAGAGCTACCCAATTAACCATTACTATAACCCACCCAAATACAACCATCCAACTCTCCCCGGCCTAGGAATATGCCTATAGTACCCGCATCACCCTCGCTCCTGTGCCACCGCCCTATCAAACATCACTGACAACCCTTTATGTCTTTACGCTATCATTGGATACCAAGTCTTGTAGTCGGTGAATGACCCGGCCAATGACACGAAAAGTTCGCAAGTTTTTCGACGCCTGCGTTTCCTTCATAATTTTAAAAAGCATTAGGGGTCACAGGTTCCCTTGTAGTTGTGGGGACGAGTGATGCTTACCCGAAGCTTTTATTATTTTGTTCTCATGTGTTTTACCATATTGTCGGTCATTCGTCCAAGGATCTGTGTCAGATCTGAGAAAGACGGTCTCCTGTTCGGATCCTCATACCAGCACTGGGTCATCAGAGCATACCTATAGGCGCAACAAAAATGTTCATGTCACAGAGGAAGATTTGGAAAAATAGGCCTCTGGTCATCGTATCCGTAAGAGATTTGCCGCAGGGAGTGCCCTGTATGCTACTCATGCTTTATCAATTTTAAGTTAAATCATACAAATCATACCGTGAAATCAGATGTTCCTGCCCCCTGGGTATGCCCCCCCCCCCCCCCATTTAAAATTTTGAATTGAACAAAAACATATATTATCGTTTGCCTTCAGTGCCCCCCCCCCCCCCCCCGATGCTCCCAGATGTTTAACCCTAGTTATTCCACTGGCCGTCCAGCTTACATTTCCTCGTCACAGTTGCTCGGCTTGGCCATACGGTATCCTTCCCTCAGTTTTCTTTCCAGTGACTTGTTGTGGATGGAAGGGTATGGTTTTTTACCTTTGAATCAAATGAAGCTAAAAGATCAACATTGGCCCCCGTTTCCTTTCAGGATAAAACTAATTGCTTCTTTACAATAATGTGATAAAATCTTCCTGAAGGAAAGATATTTCAAGAACGTTTTGTAACAGAAATTGTAATTATCATACAGTGAAACAATTATTGAGTGAAATTATTCTTACCCAAAGACGCAATCTCCCACAGAAGAATTCCAAAAGACCATCTAACAAATAAAATACCAAAAAAAACCCATGAAATATAAGAAAAGTTTATACTTATATAACTCAATGACATGCTAATATAAGTGGTCAAACTGTTGGAGCAGTGTGTTTAGCTGGATAGAACAACAGAACGGGTATTGCGTAATTTTGTTTTTTGACTTACACATCACTCTGCGTCGTGTAGCTTTGATTGACGAGGGATTCAATGGCAAGCCAGCGAACGGGAACAGGTCTCTGGCAGAAAATAGAAGTCAATCAATCAAACGTATATAACAGGTGTCTGCAATTTTCTAAGAAGCACATGCATGAAACGGTACAATAATTAGAAAACTTCAAGAAATATGAATTTATTCCTGGCAGGTCCAGACACGTAATGGTGTCACTAAAAAAAAACATAATTGCAAAATTCTGCAGCGGTGAGATTTGTATAATAATTATACAGCCTCAAATGATTGATATTTCCGATTTGATGCTAACTATACCAGAATTGAAAAAAAATACATTGAAGATACCTTTGAAGTTTGGACATAAATGTCACCCTCTCGAGAAAGTCCAAAATCTGAAATCTTAGCGACCAGATCTTCCCCGAGTAGGATGTTCCTCGCAGCCAGATCTCGGTGAATAAGCTGTTAAAAAAAAATCATTTTGTCAATAGAAAAAAGTCAAAAAGGAAGATAAGATGTAAGCATTAGCGTCCATGAAAACACATTTGAGACCTGTCACAATACCGGACTGAGTAAATGTCAATTTGCGGGATTTGCTTTAGATTTATACCATTTTCAAATTAATTTGAAAATATCAGTACAACTTGACAACTTTGTCCTGGATTTGCAGGTTTTATTTTTAGGTAGTCACTAGAGCTGACGTGTTAATGTCTAAAGTACTAGCGACAGGCTCAAATTAATTTGAAAAAATCAATACAACTTGACAACTTTGTCCTGGATTTGCAGGTTTTATTTTTAGGTAGTCACTAGAGCTGACGTGTTAATGTCTAAAGTACTAGCAACAGGCTCGTTGCCAAGGGGGGGGGGCAGGAGGCCTGACGAGCAACTGCGACTGCCCCCTCCCCCCCCCCCCCCCCCCAATTGGCAAAAACCATAAGCGTAAACATAAGCGTGTTTTTTTTTCTTGAGGTGTGCCCCCCTTGTTTGTACTATGCCTCCCCCCACGACAAGTAAGATTTTGTATTCATTCATTACAATAATTACATCCTTTTCACAAACATCTTACCCCTGTTTTGGACAGATGCTCCATTCCCTTTGCAACATCGAAGGCAAACTTCACCAGCTGATCCGAGGACATGACTCCCCCATCCGGAGCTGATCGAACTGATCGCAGGTAGCTAAGCAGGTCACCGTTAGGTGCGTACTCCAAGGCCACGTACAGTACATCTTCACGAAAAAGACTACAGGTCAGACTGACCATCATTTGGTCTGCACTATTGCAATTCGATATGAAGGACATTATGGACAATAAAGGAATGCTTAGCAAAGTAGGCCTAACGTTCAGAGTAGGCCCACTAAATATAAACCATAAGACAGTTCATGTTGTCCAAAGGAGTCTTGGACGTGCTGTCAATGGACGATAAATACATGCATACATTGAAATAAACCTATGTCCATCTCACATTGTCATCCTATTTTGTTCACCCTGGGTATGGAATCGGGTCAGGTCGCGTGCCCAGAATAGGTATACCATCATCTCTACGTCATGTTTACCATCTTTTATAGCTTCAACATATTCAGGTTTACTGTTATCCTTGGCTGTTAGTTCAACCCCAGATTAAATTCTATCCTTTTCAAGGGTCTTATGATGCCAGTTACAAATTACCCTTACCTTGATACCGACACGCCCCCAAAAGAGAGACGACATTAGGATGGGAGCCGACGATGGTCATGGCGTGGAATTCTGCCAAAAAATTAGCCCTATCGCTGTTATCCGCCTGATGTCCTGCAATGTTAGAGAAATGACGAACACGGAGAACAGAGAGACGGTATAATATCATCTCATCTTTTAATGGACAAGGAACGACACTGTCTCATTTAAAACGTAAATGATGAACTACCTTTGAGCATCTTGATAGCAGCCCTTGTGGATTTTCCATCTATTTTCACGGCTCCTGATCTAACTTCACCAAAGCATCCTTTGCCGATAACTTGATCGTCTAGAAGAACATCGCGCCACGGGATCATCCAACTGACTGCCCAAGGTTGATGCATTAAGTCCTCATCAACTGAAGGTGTAACAGGTAGTGGGCTAGGGACTTCGTACCCAGGTAAGTCATTCTAGTTTACATTTTAAAAAGTAACAGATGTGTTTCACTCAGGTTGCAAGTACACATGTAATGGGATTTTTGGAGGGTGTTTTTTTTTTTTTTTTTTTTGGTGCGTTTGAATTCAAATCCAGGCGTAGAAAATAGGGACGGATATAGCTTTCAGGAAACGCATATAGAGACGGGGTTGATATTTGAGTACTGGAAAACGACTCAGAATTAGTCATGAAAAACGCAAAAAAACCTGCAAGGGCTCGAAGCGAAATGCATTGACTGCACATGGGCGTAACTGAAGCCTGAATGATATTGCATTTTTATCAAATTCTTGGCTAATAATGTGTTAGCTTCCCCGTTATCTTAATGAATAATGATTTCTTGTTTTTAAAGGTAGACCTATAAAAACTAGAACGGCTTGCTTTGGAGACTCTCCTCCATTTTTTTTTCAATGCAGAAGGAAAACCACTGTTAACAACAGCTTTTTAAAAGACATCGGGGTACAAGAAACTTGCCATTTCAACATTTCCGTCCTCACGCCTGCTTCTTTTTAATAGTTTGACCCGCCTCCTCACGGCGTAGATGACGATTGCAGCAACTAGAATGGTCAATAGTGTGCTTAACACACTGATCACAATAGCACTGGTGATGTTGTATGGAACGACGTCGCCTGTAGGATGAAGGGTTTATCATTCGATGTTAAAAAGAACCAACATAATTATGAATTATTTATATCCTAATTTTGAAGATTCATATGACACTAGAATTTACCAAAAATACGAAATCACAATTTGAAACCAAGCACGGAATGTCATTATAACTCGGAAGGTTAAAGATCGAGACCCTTAAATTACCCCAGCTGAGTTGCAAAAGTAAGTGGAAAGGATTCTGTCGGGGGAGATCATACTTCTGGCATCTCAATGAGCCTACTGTGTTAGCAAAACGGTGGGTTTTGGAATTAAGTTCACTTGATAATAAAGGGTATTGTCGTGATGAGTTCGTCATTTGTCATAAGAAGTTCGCACGTCATGGAAATCGCGCTGCAAATGTGTCACACATAACTACTTTTAATTGGATTTTTGTCAACTCTTACTTCGCACAGTCGTGAGCAAAGAAACCGAGGTACTCTTCATGGTGGTTTTCCATGGACCAGTCACATCCGAAGTAGGGTGTACTGTCAAAGATAACCAAGCTCAAAATTTCATCAAAAAACAATGGGTCAAGAGTCACTTCAATCTTGTCTTAGTTTAAATTATACCCCTGACATCGACAGGTTAAACACCATTAACTTAAATAAGCACATCTTATAAAATGTTGTGGTTACCTATACAAAACACCGCTGTCTCCTGCAGAAGTGAAGCAAAGTAGCCCTTTCCAAAAGACCTTTAAAAACAGTTAAACGTCTCTTTTCTTGTTACCCAACAAATTGTATTACCTGTTGTGGTCGTAGGGTTCATATCATCTTCGCCCTGCAATGGTGTTGTTCGAGGCAGGTTGGTGGCACCGAATGCTAATTAGGACAGAAAATGTTATTAAAAATTCATATATATATAGTGCCTATGTGTCACTTATCCCACAAGCCCAGGACTTAGGTGGTTATTGGTCTATATTAACTCTGTTTCAAACGATGCGATGAGGAAGAAGTTTGTATTTTGGCTAAGTCACTCTTCCAGTTGTTGGCTTATTATGTTTGCGATAGTTAATCGTACAATCACCTTTTTTATTATTAGTCGTTTATTTATTACCAAAAGTTAATTCAAATGCCACTTTGAAAGGTACCACACTGACATGACACGTGTGCATCGACTACATTGTTCGGCAGAGTGTGTGACTCAATCACCTGAGGTGATGGTGACAACGAAGGAACAAATTGCCTGGTTTCCTGCCGAGTCCATGAATACGTAACGCACTGTGGTGCCACCAATCGGGAACAAAGAACCAGGGAAGTGGGATCGGGCCAGTTGTACCGGTAAGTTGTCGTCGTCGGCAGCCGTTGGCTCATCCCACGTGGCTGTGCCGGTGGTGGATCCGGACGGGGCAACCCCGGAGACAGCTGTGGGACAGCCGGTGATGACTGGGACACGAGTGTCAGCTGTGGAGTGAATCAAACGTGGAATTATGAACGGGTCGATGAAAACAGAGCCAAAAGCATTCGTCTCATTTTGCATGTAGAGGTCTACCCTTTATCCATAATTATTATTCGGTTTTTTTTCTCAAAAGAATTAATGGTATACCTGATTACAGTTAAGGTTTAACAAGGCCTATTAATATTTTTTGAGTTAAATAAGACTCCTGCTTGTTCAATTAGGTGTCTTTTTTTCTTTCAAACTAATTTTATTGGGAAAAAAAGAATGCAGTTTCACTTTTGTCGATGGTCCTCTCTTTGGTTGATACTGGTTTATGTATCCTTGATATTACTTCACACATAGGCCTACAACAGGAAAACTAGCAAAACTTGCCAACTAGACATCATTACTGGAAATAATCACTTACCTATGACATTAACAACAAAGGCACAGCCTGCCGAATTTCCTGTCGGGTCCCTGAATGTGTACACCACATTTGTCATTCCGACGGGGAAGCTCTGGCCTGGTGAGTGGCTTGCCGTGACGGTTACTTGTCCTCCAGAGTCATCCGTTGCGCTGGGTTCAGTCCATCTCACAATTATCGTTGGTGCGCCTATCGGTGATCTGGCCGTCACATCCGTCGTGGGACAACCACTGACGACTGGGGCTGTTGTATCCGTCCCTGACACTGTTCAAAAATTCACATTAAAAAAAGCGGAATAACTCATCTTTTTGCAATCTAATGCACAAAGGTTGTTTTAAATATGCATGAAACCGTTTACTTGTCTCTTAATATTTTTATATTAAGAGCTGTTACAGACACACCCGATGGACAGCCACTGACTGTAGGTGCAGTCATATCACCTCCACTACCATCTGTTCCAAGATTTTAGTTACAAATCAAAGATGTAAAATTAGTGAAATGAGGCTCACTCTGGTGGTTAAGAAGGAAATGGTTAGCTCAAAAATCACCAGAAGTGCAAGAAAAGTTCATCTTTCTTACCCTTACCTGTGACTGTGATAGTAAATTGACATGTGGCAATGTTGACTCGGGCATCCCAGAATGTGTAGATTACTTGGGAGACTGTGTTAACATTAAATCTTTGCCCGGGATTGTGAGTACTGGATACATTTGGCTGAGCTCCACTGTTGTCTGTTGCTGTTGGTGGTGTCCAAGTTACAGTGGCGTAGGTTTGACCAGCATCCGGGTTGACAGTTATATCGGCTGGGCAACCACTGATGACAGGAGCTGTCATATCTACAACACCCACTGCTCATTAATAATAAATGATATTTTATAAGCCAACACAACGCATAAGCTCAATTTTAAGACAGTGATTGGTAGAGAGAATGTTTATCTCGATTAAAGTGCAAATGCGACAATTGAAAATAACTCTAATTTAAGTTACAAATAAAAAAATGTAAAATTAGTGAAATGAGGCTCACTCTGGTGGTTAAGAAGGAAATGGTTAGCTCAAAAATCTCCAGAAGTGCAAGAAAAGTTCATCTTTCTTCCCCTTACCTGTGACCGTGATACTGAATTGACATGTGGCAGTGTTGACTCGGGCATCCCAGAATGTGTAGGTTACTTGGGAGACTGTGTTAACATTAAATCTTTGCCCGGGATTGTGAGTACTGAAGACCATTGGCTGAGCTCCACTGTTGTCTGTTGCTGTTGGTGGTGTCCAAGTTACAGTGGCATAGGTTCGACCAGCATCCGGGTTGACAGTTATATCGGCTGGGCAACCACTGATGACAGGAGGTGTCATATCTACACCTGCACGTCAACAATAAACAATATTTTATAAGCCAACACACACGCATAAGCTCAATTTTAAGACAGTGATTGGTAGAGAGAATGTTTACCTCGATTTAAGTGCAAATAGGGGAGTCAGGTTGGCGTAGCGGTACTTTCCTCGCCTTCCACCGCTGTGACCCGAGTTCGAATCCCGCCTGGGCCAATATGTGGATTGGGCTTTCAGTCCCTGCCTGATTCCGTGGGTTTTTCCCAGAACATTCTTCTGGGCTTTTCCTCCCAACTCTAAAACTGTTATTTCTTCTCATTGTCTTCTCTCTACAGGTTTCTTCAGGCTTGCGAGCTACAGTGCCAAGGGCGCTTTTGAGGAATCCTTGGTTTCATTACCAGAAATGATTAATAATAATAATAAAAATAATAATATATGCAACAATTGAAAATAACTCTAACGAAAATTTGAGTTTTGTTGCTTTATTTGTGAAACAAACTTCAACAGTAACACTGCAGGATGCACGATTTGAGAAGAAATAAAAAGCATGCACTGCCTAACTGTTCCATACCGTTATATCTTCTTAGTGGAAACTTTTCCAGCCTTTCCCTGTTTTGTGATTATCTGTTTCTGTATAGTGCTGAATCACAAGTATAACCACGCACGCAGGAAACAAATTTCCAAAGTGAAACAGCATTTGTACGTGAATCCAATTGAAAAAAGGAAAAACTTACTTTGAACATTGACAACAAAGACACATATGGCCCGATTGTTAAATGGATCCCTGAATGTGTACTGAACCGTTGTCATTCCAAGGGAGAAACTCTGGCCTGGTGAGCGGCTTGATGTAGTTGTAACTACTCCAGAATTGTCTGTTGCTGTAGGTTCAATCCAAACTGCTGTTGCTGATGTTGCACCAAAAGGAGCTAGTACAGACACACCCGATGGACAACCACTGACTGTCGGTGCAGTCATATCACCTCCGACGTAGGCTTTATAACAAAAGATGTTCAATTGGTGAGATAAGTGTCACTCCGTTACGGTGATGGACCTTGGGTCTAATTTGCAGGAGACACTAAAGGAGGCGTTGTTTTCTATACAGGACACCCAATGGGTAATTGTTTTAACATAAGAGCTCATTTTTATTTGCCTTTTACCTATTTCTGAGCAGGATGAGAGGGGCTTGGAAGGTGGAGAGGGAGAAGATGTGAATGTCACTACTTACGATCACAGAAGTATTCCTCGCTCGTGTAAAAGCACCTTGTTTCTCCAGAGCAAGGGTTACTCTCGCACGGGTTGGATACTGTTGGAATCAAAGTCAAATGAAAATTGTAGTTTAACAAATAGGCACCAGGAACAGAAAAGAAGTTTTAGTTGGTGACATTTCTTTTACTTGTAACCATTTAGTTAAAGTTCTTTAGCAGTAGTACAATCGTTGAAAGAACAACTTTGTGGGGTGACATTCTGGTCTTTGTCAACAATGAGGGGGTACTAACAACATCTGTATTGCCCACTGATCTCTTTATAAAGACTGGATAGTGGATGCCCATTCATACACCAGTCACATAGTTGAGGCGCCCTGTGATTGGCTCTTCTGACCCCTGCATGCGATCAACCCCCCTCTCCCCACCCCCCCCCCCCCCCAAATATGCCACGGCTAACCTGTGCGCGGTATGTTTCACATGTGCACGTAAAAGAGTGTTTCAACGCATTGCCTCAGTGCGGAAGTGTTTTTTTTTTTCATCATTAATATTTTTGCGAAAAAAAACAACCACAGCCTTTGAGTGCAGATCATGCATGCTATTCAATGATTGCACATACGATATTGACAACAAAGTAACAGCCTACCGAATGAATGCGGTGCATGCGGGGAAGGTTATACTTCTTTCTCCTCCTTGCTCTATGGGTGCAGACCAGTAACTCGGGACAAAATTGCCTACGCCGGCAAAATCACGATTTGCATGCCCTCAAATTCTTCAGTATTAGAGCCGGTCAGGCTTGTTTGTCATCTTGAAGCACTTAGGCTGCCCAGACACCCTACTAGCCATTTTGATGGGATTTCATCAAGACATGAAAGCTACAGTCCAACACAACGGCTCCAAATCCAGGAAGTTTGACATTCACCGGGGCGTCAAACAGGGGTGTGTGCTTGTGTGGCAGGGCCACATAGTTAACTTGCATTAGCTTTTGGTTTTCAACATAGGAGTCCCTCCCCCTGACTTGCATAGAGTCTTAGTTTGTGCGAGTTCCCCAAGTGTGTCATTTTTCACGGTTACATTTTTTTCTTTTAGGTGGAGAATCCGGGTACTAGTGCACTGTTTTTTTTATATAACTTAGCCAGGAATTTTTAAGGTAGGACATAGAGACAGGTCATAGTTAGGGAAAACCAATACAGTGTCGAGAGTTGGGAGTATATTGATTGCGATGACGCAGACGCCGAACCAGCACCGAACAGCTCACCTGATATCGGATACCCCTCCGCAACTGACGCCCCAGACAACATACGCAGTTACTCCTGGGCTTGGTCAATCACCGAACATGGAAGGAGCACACCGTCAGTTTCCACATTTGGTTCCTCCATCAGAAGGAGTGTCCCCTCTACGTCTTGCTGGTATAGATCTACTCCACACCGTGGCAGAGCAGAGAGGACAGGGAGCTCCAAGGATGTTGACCACGCATCAGGTCAAGAGCGTGCCAACATTTAGCGGGAAGGAGCGACACGGCCCCCGACTGGAGGACTGGATCCGGGATATGCGGTTCCTCCTTGGATGCAAGGGAACAGCCCCAGGGATCCTCCAGTTTCATGAGGCTGTCAGACACACAGGAGGAAAAGCGAGAGATGTGCTGCTGAACCTTGAGAGTAGGACACCAGAGGGTCTAGACGCGGAGAAAGCCTTCGTCGAGCTGCTGGAAGAATACGGGGAAGACAAAAGTGTCCTGTCTCCCGTGGCCAAATTCTACGCCAGGGTGCAGCGGGGAAACGAAACCCCAATGGAGTTCGCCATTGCTTTGGAATCCACCTTGAGGGAGGTTGAAGAGACGAGGCGGCGCCGGGGACAGAAGTCCGAGGAAGAGAGCCGAGACAAGATGTTGGCGACCCAGTTCATGGTGGGTTTGAAGAACCTACACTACAAGCAGAGGTTGGCGCCGATGCAACCGAGGTTTATGGCCTTCCGGGACGTACGCCGGGAACTTCACATTATTGATGAAGAGGAGAGACAGGCAGCAGACCTAAGACGACAGCAGACGTCCTTCTCAATGAGCAAGGTTGCTCAAAGCTTGCCCCAAGTTAAGGCCCTGGGTAAAGACGTAAAGGGGCCAGCCCAACCCGTGAAGGAGGTCGTCCCGGTCCCACTCGGGCCAAACGACCCCAACACTCCGATAATCCAGCAACTCATGACGCAACAACTGGAGGAGATGAAGGGGATGCATCGTGGTCAGATGGAGGCCTTGGACAGAGTTCTCCAGGAGCAACGCCAACATGGTCAACGCCTTGCCCGACTAGAGGGTGCTGTTTTCCAACATCAGCCCACCCGTCAGCCCCAATCGGGCAAACCCCCATATACTGGATGTTTCAACTGTGGAGATCGCCGACATCTAGCAAGAAATTGCCCCCAGCTTAACCACAGTGAGCAACCACAGCAGCAGCAGGCCCCCACCACTCAGCCTATGTTAAATGGACAAAACCTGCGGATGTAGGGCAGTCGGCGGGTTTAACAGGGAAGAGCCCACTTAACACTAATACATATATATCCATC